GTGGAGGCGGCGTGAGCACCTTCGCAGTGCCTGCGCCTCTGCGTCGCACCCCTGCCGTGTCGCTCCACTCCGGTGTGGATTTCGCAGCCGCTCGCGCGCGCGCGCGCGTCACGCGCACGGCGCCGCGCCGTTGGCCGCGATCGCTGGGAGCGAGTCGGGCTGACCTGGGCGTGGTGTCGACAGGCGCTGCGGCCGGGAACTCCAGCGGCTCGGCGTGCCGCTCCCCCGGCTCGGGCCCGCCGCGCGCCGGCGCGACGCGTGAGCCACGTCCACGCCCCCGTGCCCAAGCGTCAGTGTCCCTCTACAGGAGGACTGTTCCCAAATAGTCCAAAAATAGTATGGGATTTGTTTGACTGTTTTGATTATTTCCCAACCACCCTGTGGTGTTTGGTCATCGATTTGAAGAGACGGTCCCCGCGTTTTCCTCTCCTCTCCTTCTCCTCCTCCCCTCCTCCCCATTTCGGCACGCCCCTCACACGTTTCGTGGCCCCCTAGGGAGCTCCACCGAAGGCCCCAGTGGCTGCGCTCGGAGGGCACCACCGCGTCCATGTTGGCACACCCTTCACACGCGTCGTGGCCCCATAGGAAGCTCCACAGAAGGCCCCAGTGGCTGCGCTCGCATGACACCGCCGCACCCATTTCGGCACACCGCTCACACGCTTCGTGGCCCCATAGGGAGCTCCACCGAAGGCTCCAGTGGCTGCGCTCGCATGACACCACCGCACCCATCTCGGCACGCCCCTCACACGTTTTGTGGCCCCACAAGAAGCTCCACCGAAGGCCTTAGTGGCTGCGCTCGCATGGCACCACCGCACCCACTTCGGTACACTCCTCACACTTTTCGTGGCCCCATAGGGAGCTCCACCGAAGGCCCCAGTGGCTGCGCTCGCAGGGCACCACCGCGCCCATGCTGGGGCACCCCTCACACGTTTTGTGCTCAAAAAGGAGCTCCACCGAAGAGGATACCAACAATATATGGTTAAATCCTTCGCCAGGATCATGTTTGGCAGTGTTTTAATTCTTCGTCGAAGATCCGCCTGTAGGGGGACATGCCCGACCTAGCCCAAGCGTCAGTGTCCCGAGCTTCTCCGTCCAGGCCCCCCGCCCCCGCGGAGGCGGCACGCCACATCCGCGAACAAAAAGCCTGGCGGGTCGCCGGGGCCGCCGCCGCGACGCGCCAAGCCAGAGTTCTCCTCTGACCGCAGAGGAGGTGAGGGATGTGTCGAATGGGGGCCCTCAAGCAGTGGCGAAGCGTCCTGGCGTGCCTATAGGCCCTCCAAACAATGTTCTACGTAAGAACCTTTTGTGGCTTCCACATAATGTTCTTAGAACATTTCTGGCTGGGGTTGTTTTCTTTTAATACGCCTGGCTTGTGTTCTGAGAACAGCGTTTTCGTTCTTAAAACATTTTTGCGTTCTGAGAACATGTCGTGGTAGGCCTATAGGAATGCCGGGACGGCCAGTCCCTGCTCAAGGGGGGGGGGCTTGCCGGAGATGTGCACACTTGCAGATGGGGGATGCGGGGCTCTTGGAGCAGCTCGTGGACGGGCGCGCGATCGGGTGTGCTCCAGGGCCCCAGGGGCCACGACTGCCGCGCAGACCCGACGCCAGGCTTCTTCCAGAGCCCTCAGTGGAATAGGCGGCCGGCACGCGCAGGGCAGCGGCTGCGAGCGTGGCCGGGCCTCCCCTCGCCTCAGCACGAGCAGCAGCCGGCGCAGACCCCAGATAGATCAGCCGACTGACACGAAGTGGACACGGAGGGGGCTGGATGGGCGTAGGCTCGATTGGGCAAGGGTAGACTCCACTCCATTCTGCTCTGCGCTGCGCTGCTCTACCCTGCTTTCTCCGACTCAGCTGAGCCATCTACCCTGCTCTGCTCCACCCGACTCTCCTCTACTCTACTCTTCCCCACTCTACTCGGCCCTACTCTACCATATCCTATTCTACTCGACTCCTACTCTACTCTACTCTACACCTACTCTGCCCAGCACTACCCTACTCAACTCTGCTGTGCTCTTCTCCACTTTATTGTACCCGACCCCACTCTACCATCTAGCCGACTGTATTCTGGTCTACTTTACCATACCCTCCTTCTCAATCCTACTCTTCTCTACGCTACTCCGCTCTACTCTACTCTATAGTTTCCTCTCCTCTCTACTCTACGCTACCCTACTCTACTCTACTCTGCTCTATTCTACTCTACTCTACTGTGCATTATACTTCCGAGTTCGACGATTGTTCGACGATTGTTGGGACATCATTGGGATAGCCGCAGGAAGCGATTGGAGTAGCAGAGGAAACCATGCAGATGAAGCCATGCGGCTAGTGTTGACGAGTTGGGCTGCCCTTGGAACAGCCACAGGAAGACATGCGGATACAGAGGAAGCCCCGCGGATAGTTTTACGACTTCGCGGGCAAAACAGAGTGGGGTATCAGTGGACCAGTTCCCTCTGCCATTGCTCTAGGACTCCTACAGGCAAGCCTTTTAGGAGAACGTGTGCCAGGTCAGCCAATGCTCCGTTACGCGCGGCTCGATGTCCAAGAAGGCCAACCAGCACCCTCCCACGGACGTTCCGCCCGACGGCTCGTTCCAGCCCTCCCCCCGCCCGCGCCGACCCCCTCTCCACGTGATTCGACATTCCCACGCCCCGCGCTGGACAGGCCCATTCCACTCCCCCCCCACGTGATCCCCCCCCCACGCTGATTGAACAAGTCGGGGTAGCGTACACCAGGTGTTGGCCAGCGGTCATGGCGGCGCCTTCCGTGGGCGCACCTCAACGGTGATAGTGACCATGCGCAAGAGGCGTTCGGCGAGCTCGCAGTGAAGGTGGCGGACTTTACCGAGTTGGCCAGCGGCCGACGCCTTCTCCATCCTAACGGGAGCGAGCCTGGCAGTTTTTTGCCCGCCTTCCCGATCCCGTCGTTCCTCTTCAGGCAAGACGCCAAAATAAGGACCACTCGGGGCTCTGGAAGTGCCCTGATTTTCGGACCGTTCCTTAGATTCCGATCGGGGAGCCTATTCGGCATGCTTGCAGGGAGGTTGTTTGGACTTATGATGGGAGGTTGTATTGCAGTATATTCGGTGAGTCCTGGCTTTACTTGATTTCGGCGGCGCGCCGAGGGGGGACGTGAAGGGGGGCAGGCCTTCTCAGAAGGTGGCAGGGCTTCTCTGAAGCCCTCCGGCTTTCTGAGCCTCCTGAGAAGGCCCGCCCCCTCTGCTTTCCTCCCTTGTCGCGCCGCCGACTAATGTGTTTATTTTGTCTCATCCTGCATCCTCCTCCTCCTCCTCCTCCTCCTCCTCCTCCTCCTCCTCCTCCTCTTTCTCCTCCTCCTCCTCTTCCTCCTCATCCTCCTCCAGGTGGCCCATCATGTCGCGAGGACACACCATGCCACCTCACACGATCCGAGGACTACACACTCGCAAGGGCCCTCTCGCCCCCTGCAGCCATGGAGTCGGCTCGCCCTCGGGCCGAGGCTTCTCCTGGGTTGCTCAGGATGGTCGGCTTCAGCCCGTGCGCCGAGAACCGCAACTCCAGGCTCGCAGACATAGTCGCCGAGTACCCGACGCACGATATCGTCGTGTTGTGCGGCACCCAGTAGAAGAGTAGCGGCGACATCGAGGATGAGCTTTTCATTGGCAAATTCAGGTGCTACAGATTTGGCTACCACAGCGTGGGCCTCTTGTACCACCGCCCTGTGGCATCAGCATTCTCGTGAACAACTCGGTTCAGCAAGCGTTCCGTCAGCCGCATCTTACCTGTGCCCAATAAGTTGTGGGGACGAGCTGGCTGCAAATTCGTCCGGCAACAAGAACGATAATATGGTATCACAGGATTGTATTTCTCGCCGAAACCCATCAAAACTGGGCAAAAAACACCTTTTCGACAAGGCAGCGCAGTGTATCATCTCATGACTACAACAGCCTGTTGTACAATATCTTGACACTTTGTACGCTATTCATCATCTGTTTGTATATGTATATATATATATATATATGAATGGTGAGCAGGTCGCAGGCGAGCATGGTATAGGCACTTCACCTTCCTCGCAGGCCTGTCGCCCAATTCTGGAACCGTGGGGCTGGACGGCGAGAAGGGAATATTTTTGCAACGTGGCATCGTTTGCCCGCGAACGAGGAGAGGGTCACATTGACCACGTCATTGTGCCGGGAGCTGTCATGCCCGCGGTCGAGAGTTGCATCGTTCATGTCCGCACGGCTCGGCGGCTCCAACTCCATCATGCTGCTGCAGCTCGCGACAATCGCCCTGTCGAGCTCACCGTTCGACTGCAAGCCACAGCGGCGCTTCGCCCTACCAGACACCCCAGGCCCAACAGAGAGGCCAAGTACGAGTGCGTGGAGCTTGGGCATTTCAGGGATTAGCTGGTTCAGTGCTTAATTAAGCTCGAAGATGGAGGCGGCGGAGGAGGAGTTCCATCTACTGAAAGGGGATGACAAGATGGATGACATGAATCGAGTCTTCATGCACTTTTTAGATCAGTCAGCCGTCGAGACGTTCAGGGTCCCCCCGATGTTTACTGAGGATTGCCCCACCAGCTCTAAACTATTTAGACGAACTACTACAGCAAAGCCGCGAGCGTAGAGAGCAACGAGGCCGAGCAGCAGGCAGTTACGCTTCCGAGGCGCACACGAACGCCATCAAACAACTCAGTCGTCACTTGCGGAACACAGCTCGAACGCATCATGAGCGAGCGCGTGCCCACAGGACGGAAGAGCTACGCGCGGCGCCCGCGCAACGCAACAACGCAATTGCTACCTAAGTGCACAAGCTGAGCCGCATGATAGCAGGTAAAAGTCGAGGACCGCGCAAACGCCAGTTTCGTGCACCACCTCAATCTCCGGCACGTGCCACAGCTTGGTCTTCTCTCGTGCAGTTGCCAGCAGCTGAGGGAGGATGTTCGGCCACCGTCCCCTCGCTCAACGACGTCCAGCTCGAAATCCACACATCGAATCGACAGCCTTGGGGCGGTCCCGAAGCCGTCGCGCTTGCCATTAATGGCTGCGAACCAATGTCCCGTTGCGTTTTCAAGTTTTTGGCGAACTTGGCCCGAATGGTCGCGCGCCCCCGAGCTGCGTCGGATATCGTTTCATCATGCCTGGGCGAACGATCGTCGCTTCAAATCTAGAGCAGGAGTGGGGCTAGGGCCGACGGAGATTCACTGCGCGGGGAGGGACATGCTTATGAAGCTACTTCGGGCATGCAAGCGCTGGGGGCGCACCCCTGTTGCATGTCGCGCCACGCATGCGGCTCGGCGACCCAGGGGCGCCGAGCTCGTCTGCGACGGCGAAAGCGAATCAGCAATATGGCCACGCGCACGTTAAGTCGCAGCTACAGTGCTGGAGCCCTCTTTCGGAAGCCGAGGGCCCACCTGATTGGCTCTGCGGAGGCTTCAGAAACAGAAGACGTGAAACAGCAATGGCAGTGAAGGCTATCGGCAGCAATCGCACGCAGGAAGGATGAGTCTCTCCTATATAACGTTGCCACGACGCCTCCAATGGAATGTTCCTCGCAGCACGCCGCGGCGCTGGCTGGCGCGGATGGCGCCCGCCGCGCCGGCGATGCGGGGCCCGCCGAAGATCGCAGCGCGGAAGAAGTTTTCAAGCTAGGAGATGAATCTGGACGCTTCTGGCTCCGACTTGGCAGCGGAGCCTTTCTTGGAGATGCAGAAGCTACATTGTTGTTCGCGCGCGCTTTATCGCAGCCTGTCTTGCAGAGCACCGCTGACCAGTTCTGCCCGCGTGGGCGGCAGTCGAGCCTGGGCCCCCGCGGGGCACGGGACGCGCGGGAGCGCGGCAGGTCGCGCTCGCAGGGTCCGTCGACGATCTCGCCAACAAATCATTAGAGGTTGTGGCGGGGCCATCGGAGGCACAACTAGCAGCGGGATCAGCAGCAGAGAACGCAGCTCTCTAGGAGGGCATGGGGGAGGTGGGAACGACTCCGAAGATCAGCAAGCAGGAGAACGTCGCTTCCCAGACTTCTGCGCGCAGGCGGAGTGCGAGGCGCGGCGGGAATTGCCATGCGTCAAGCGCGCTATCTAGGGGACCACTACTCCTCGACTTGTGCGCCCGCGCCAGAGATGGGCAGACGGCGGCGCGCGCTGCGCGTTAGTTTCTACGCCATGGGCAGCCTCGGGCACTCCAGCGTCCCAGGGGGGGCTCTTTGTGAATCTCGTCAAGGGCTTCCACGTAAACGGCGCTCTGTCGGGGGTGGAGGCCAGGGCCAAGTCCGAAAGACCTCTGCTGCCGGGGCCTCGCTGGGCTCGAAGGGTTTGACGCGGGCAAGTGCAGGGCCATTTTGCCGGGCCCTTGCGAATCGGGTTCTCGGCGCGCCAAGATTCGGTCCAATCGCGACGTTTTCAGGGGGGGGGGAATGGAGCGACTATTCCTTAGCTCAGGATGCGCGGGCTTATGTGGCATCGGGAGCTCTCGGATGCCATGTGTTTCGCGGGCAGTTCTGGGCAGTTATGCCGCGCATTGCGGCTGTGGACAGCGACGTTCTGGTCGAGGGTGGAGCGCCCTGCGCAGGGCGCCCCTGGGCGCTTCAATTTCAGCGGGACATCGACTCGTTCGCCAGCGCAGCGTCTGTCGAGGATCTTCTCGTCGACGCAGAGCAGCGTCTCAGTCGTGCGTTTTTGATTCTGAGCTGTGTGAACAGTCGCAGCGCCTCGACATCGGGGAATGCGTCGACCCGCCTCCAAAGCGGCCGTGCAGGCAGACCAAGAGGGGCGAGGCCAATGTCTTCGCTCGCCGGGAGGTTTCTTGGGGACGGCACAAGACGTCGATCAAGATTGGCATCGCACGAACAGCTCATCGCACGCATAGCGATCTCAGGGGGCACTCGCGGGCGTCTTCGCATTGCGCGGATTGGCGCACCATCCAATCAGCGCGTGCGTTCATTTCGAGAACCCACTGTCGCTAAACCCCATATCAAGCGCAGTCTTCTTCGTGAATTGTGTCCGCATGGTGGATTTCGCTTCGAGAGAACGGTCACCGAGTGCAAACACACTGAGTGTCATGCGCGCGCCCTGAAGAGTTCGAGACCGTAGCCGAGCGCGTCGAGAATTTATTCCAGCATCTTTCTGAGTACCTGTCACGTCACCATCTTTCCACGTGAGAGCCCACGGCGGACGCCGCCTCCTCAGGGGGACCGGCGGGCCGAGAGGCAAGAGCGTCTCCTGCGCAGCAGGCAAGCCCGCGAAGCTCCACAGGCCCAGCCGCGATGAGGACGAATATATGGTGGAGGAGGAGCGGCAGCAATAATGGTTTCAGGGGGGACCTCCTCCTCCAGCTCGGCGCAGGAGTACGGGCGCTAGAGCGCGCGGCCTTCAGCGCGGCGGTCATCAACATGAGTCGGTCGCGATAGAAGCCATTAGCTATCGATGTCTTCCATTGCAAGGGCACTTCACCAAGGGTGCAGATGGCCTTGCACGGTTGCAAAAAGGCTGTCTTTGATGATGGATAAGAACGGGCCCGTCATGATGTCCGCCTGGGTCAAGGAGGCGGTAGCTCTTCCGACGTTTGACCGACCAGGGACAGGGCCCAACAGTCACATGACGTTCGCGCTCAAGGGCAATGCGCTGCTGCCTCGCGAGGCCCAAGCGGCAGACACCATTCTCAAGGACCTGCAGAGCTACGATGACAGCAAAGCACGTGTGATGATCCACCCAGTCGAGGCGCCAACGCAGGTACTGCAGACAAAGGGCACCTGGGTCCCGGCAGGGCAGCTCATATGCGAAGCAGTTCGCGGGGTGGGCGGAGATATCAAGACGAATGAGCCCCGAGGGGCAATCTGATTCGCCAGCTTGGAGGCGGCAAGGGCAAAAAAAGGTAAATGAGACCATCGCCCGTGGCCGCGCCCCCGCGCTGGCCCCACAGTGGGGTTCTTCTGCCTGTGACATGTCCGTCTGACATTTCCTGACGGAGATAGTTTCCTCTTTTTTTTTTCTTCTTCTTTTTTCTCGTGGCCCCTAGGGCCTTTCATTTTCTGCCAATTGTTAGCCTTCTGGGGACTGACGTTTTCGCCTCCTCAGATCGCCGATGCAGCTGGTAGGGTTGCCAGGGGGTTCAGGGACCGTCTTTTCCAGACTGACTCTCTGACCGGAGTCAGGCCAAAGCATTTTTGCCGATAGGCGAAATGACGACATGGGGGTCAAAAAACGATCCAAATCCCCAGCCCGAGCCAGATTTTTCATAACAGTTACAAGCGGTCTTGATGGGTTTGAGAACTGAGCTGAACTCCTCCTCTTCCTCCTCCCCCTCCTCCTTTTTTCTCGTCCTCCTCCTCCTCCTCCTACTCCTCCTCCTCCTTCTCCTCCTCCTCTTCCTCCCCCTCATCCTTCTCATCGTCTGCCCCTCCGGGGTCGGGTTCGGCAGCGCGCTGGGCAGGCCCGAAGGTCGGCTACGTCAGCCCGCCCTCGTCAGATTCATCTCACGAAACGAAGGTCCCAAGAAGACCTCACTCCTCCGTGGTCCAATCGGAGGGGAGAGGATCGAGGTTCGCGGGCGGCTGGCGCCGCCGACCCTGAAGACGACTACGACGATGACGAGGAGGAAGCAGAGGAGTGGGAGGAGGGGGAGGAGGGGGGGGAGGTGGAGGAGGATAATTGGGGGAGGAGGAGGAGGAGGATGAAGAGGAAGAGCAAACGCCAGAAAATATCCTCCCTCCTCAGCCTCCTGTATGGGGAGCGGGCGCCCGCGCGCGCAGGAGTCTTGAGCCCGAGCCGTCGCGGAGGTGTCGCGGCCTGGCCGCCAGCTGTAGGGCTCGTTGCCCATCCGCCGGCGGAGGTTGCGGGCGCTGCCGAAAGGGCGCAGCTGTTGGGGGCAGCGTGAGGTTGGGCGACGGAATGTATGCATACAGTGGAGGCCCATGTCAAGAAACACCCGGCTTGTCTCCAGGGTGCCTTGGGTTTCTTGGGTTTCGAGGGTTCTGCTGTGGAGGGCGTGGCGTTCCCACGCCAAGAATCAATGGATGTGCTGGGGTCTCAGGGTTGGGTTTCTCGTGGAAGGTTTCTCGTGGACGTGCCTCCATGGTATCCACTGCTCCCTGGCCCGGCCGCTCCCGGGCCCCCGAGCTGTGACAGCATGCCCTCCCGGCCAAGCCGGGAGGGCGCGGCGCACACACCGGTGCTGGGTTCTGCATGCGGATTTGCTCTCTGGGGCCTATCGCCGGTCTGTCGGGCGATGTATCACCGAGTCCTGCTCGATGTTCCTCTCTCCAATGAGCCAATCCCCCTCAACGTTCCTCCTCAAGTTGCGGCAGCGACGGCTGGCGTCGTCATGCTCCTCCTCGTCGTCCACCTTCTCACCTCCTCCCTTCTTTTTAGTATTCTTATTATTATGACTCGCATTCTGAGTTGTATTCGTCTCATTCGTATGTTTTATTTGTCTGGGTATCTTTTCTATTAGTATCAGTGTCATTATTGTTTTAATATTCTTACGAATCGTGCTAGTTTTCGCATTCTTATTGTTCTGCTTACTATCATGATTATTATTGGTCCTCCTCCTCCTCCTCCTCCTCGAATCCCAGCTGCCGCCGTTGCACCGAAGGAGGAGTCATGTTGAGCCGCCAGGAGGTGCGGCAATGCGAGGCGAGGGAGAGAAGGAGGAGCAGGAGGAGGACCTCGTTCTCTCTCTCTCTCTCTCTCCCTGTCTCTCTCTCTCTCTCTCTCTCCCTCTTTCTCTGCCTCTCTTTCGCCCACGCGAAGGCGGAGGAACTGGGTGGAGCAGGTCGATCCTGGACGCCCCCCTTCTCGCCCTCGCCCTCCCGTTCCCCCACTGCTGTCCCCCCTCGTTGCCTCCCTCTCGGCCTTTCCTTCCCCGGACCTCTGGCGCGTCGATGCTTCCGCTGCGGCGGCCCCAGGACCTCTCCACCCCTACAGGGGCAGTCCTTCATCCTATAAGCCGTCTCCAGACGGCCTCGAGGCCCGAAGCCGGCCGCCATAGGGGCCCACACTGGCGACAGCCCTTCCGCATCGGTTCTGCTCGCGGCGCCGGATGTGCGGCTCTGCCTCGCCCTCGCCGGGGGCCCACTTCGAGTCCACCGGTTTGCATCCTGCCTGGGTCGATCCGACGCGGTATCGTCGCAGGCCTACAGGTTGACACCAACATCAATTTCGGCGGTGTGCCTCCACCGAGGGAAGAAGATCCCGATCTCGGTGATGGTGGTAATATTCTGGCTTCCAAGGTGACCGAAATCTTACCGAGGACACCGAAATCTAGGATCATTCTCCCCCTGTGGAGGCAAACCTCTGTGTTGGTGTTGGTGCCAATTTCCAGGCCTCCAATATCGGTTTCCCGGCGATCCGATCGGGCCTGGTGCTTGTGCGGCGCAGTGGCGCACTCGGGCGCAGCCGCTTCGCCTCGGCTTCCATGCCCGAGCCGCTGCGGCCCGAGCTGGCGCACGCGCCGGGGTACGAAGCGGTTTCGCGATGCGGTGCTGGCCGATGCGGCCCTCGCCCGACGATCCACGGCCTCGCGGGCCGGGCCCGCGGGCCGCGAGATCCAAGGGGCGCGGGCGCTTCGCTCGCGGACGGCCCCGCGCGGAGCGTGTCCACGCGACCGCGTCCAGGCAGGGCGCTCAAAGAGATAGAGAGGGGGCCGCTGCGGGCTCCGGGAGGGGCTCTCCGGTGCTCGGGCCGTGCCACTGCTCCTCGACTGCAGAATGGGTGTGTCCCAGACTCGATTTCTCGAAGTTTCGACGAGGAGATCTGATCCATCCCGGGGGCAAGTCAATCTTGCGGTCGATGCCCTGCTCGACGTGCCTGGGTCTGGGCTCGTGGCGCCTCGTGGCTGCACGACGAGTGTGCCCACGGGGTCGTGTCCGGGAGGTGCAGGCCGCGAGGGCGTGGGATTTGGGCACGTTGCGCCGCCCGTTGCCCCGCCGCAGGGGCTCTGCCCACAGAGGGGGGGGGGCCGGCGCCGCGCCAGCGGATGCCAGACCGGGGCCCCCTGAGCGGGGACGTCGCAACAGTGGAAGCCCATGCCAAGGAACACCCTGGTTGCCTCCAGGGCCCCCTGGGTTTCTTGGGCCTCGATGGTTTTGCGATGGGAAGCGTGGCGTTCCCACACCAAAAGTCCACGGGCCTCCTGGGGTCTCAGGGTTGGGGTGCCTGTGGAGGGTGTCCCGTGGCCGAGCTCCCGCTGCAGGCCAGGGCGTCGGCGGCGCCCGAGCAAGGCTGCGGCCGTGGGCGGTGGCACATTCTCTCCGCACTTCCGCTCTGCCCAGACCCCGGTGTCGTGCTTTTGGTTCACGCGGCGTCGACCCCCGGCGGTCTCCACGCGTTCCCCAGGGCCGTGCCTCCGAGGCGGGAATGTATATACATGACCACCGCCTGGAGGCTCAATTCCGGGGATCTCGGCAGGCGGTGGATACGGACATATTCGGCCCCCTCGGGGGGCCAAAACGTATCCATGTCCACCGCCTGCTGGGGCACCAGGATGTCGGTTCCCAGGCGGTGGATATGGATAAATCCCCGCCTCGCAGTGCCGGAGTTGTTTGTTGACGGTCCTGGGGCCCGGCGAGGTTCCCCTCCCGGGCCGAAGAAGGCAAGGAGCCGTCCGTCGTGGCTATGTCGGTGGCGCGAGGGGGGTCTGGGCTTCCAGGTGGCATTTTCCAAAGCCCTGTTTCCCGATGCCTCCCAGATGGGGTCGGAGCAGATTGGGTCGGAGGATCGCGCCGCATCGCCGATGCATCGGCGATGCGGTTCGGTGTGGAGCCCGGCTTCCTCCGCGCCGAGGGCGCCGATACATCGCCGATGCCTCGGCGAGGCATCGGCGGTGCAGAGCGGTACTCGGACCCCATCTGCTCCGACCCCATTTGAGAGGCCTCGCGAGCAAGGGCTTCGGAAATCGCCACCTGGAAGCCCAGACCCCTTCGCGCCACGACATCATCACGACGGACGGCCTTCTTGCTACTCTTGGGAGGCCTCGACCCCCATCTGAGCGACGCCTCACCGACGCTGGCGAGCAAGCTGCCCGCGTAAGCTTCCAAATGTAGCATGCTGCGCCGGCGGCCCGCGTCAGCCGCGGCACGAGGTCGCCCTGCCATCTTGCGTAAGACCTGCTGCAGTCCACCCGCACAAGAAGGACGGGCATCTTTCCCCACAGGTATCCTCGCGTCCTTGCCTCCTCGGCCCATCCTCACTCCCGCTGGCCGGCGCCCCGCCCGAGAAGCTCCGAAGCGGCCCTCCGAGGCCGCCGCACACACCCCTCGCGCGTCCTCGCGACACGGGCCGACTGCCAGACACCGCCCTCTCTCCCCGCTCCCCTGGGCGGCCCCGAGGCTCGCGGCGCCCCGGCCTCCGGGGGGCCCCGAGCCATGGAGCGCGCGGCCGCGCTCGGCGCCGCCTCCGGCAGGGCCGCCGCCGCCGCCGGGCGGGCGTCGGCCGCCCAGGTCCTCGGCAAGGCCCCCGCCGCGTTTCGCCCGCCCCGCCCGCCGCCCCCGCCCGCGCCGGAGGCGGGCGGCGCCCGCCGGACGAAGGGCA